TAAATCTTTTATGTTCTTTTTCTTTCTTTCTTTTTCTTCTTTTTCTTCCAAGCTACCAAGGGCCGCCGGCCCTCCCCCAATGGGCGACGAGGATCATTGGCCCTCGCCAGAATTGGTAGAAAGAAAAGGAAGAAAGTAAAAAATTATAATAATATTTTAATATGTTTTCGAATTTTTAAATCTTTTATGTTCTTTTTCTTTCTTTCTTTTTCTTCCAAGCCTGCCAAGGCCGCCGGCCCTCCCCCAATGGCCGACGAGGATCATTGGCCCTCGCCAGAATTGGTAGAAAGAAAAGGAAGAAAGTAAAAAAGGTTTAGGACTCAATTGGCAAAATTAAAAAGTTTATGACTGAATTGACAAAAGTGTAATAAGTTGATGACATTTTGGACAATTTTTCCCGCTTTATATATATTGTGCGAAATTTTCACGAGATCTTCCCAACCCTTATTCAATAAATAGTCTCTACATAGGCTGTACTCTTTAACTCGTAAGCCTCAATTCTCATATAACTGTAGTGTTCTATTTCTATATTGCAATGCAAATGATACATTTGGCAACAAATCAAGCTTGAACACGATAAGGATCCAAACAATTGCTTGAATCCATCGGTACATATCACACGATAAGCATCGAGTATTACCCATTAAGAAACTAATTCCGTAGCCTATCAAGGGTTTACAATCTGCTACAAATAATTAGCCACGTAAAACTTCCCAAAAAGGCCCACAAAACCATTCAAATGTTACCAAAAGAAAGCCCAACCTATCACCCGTGGATTAAAATAGCATGACCTTTCGAATGTCTTAGAAAAAGCCCAACATTTTACCAATTGGACAAAAATTGACACCCATTTCAATTTCAGCCCATTCGCCACTCGCCGTCCTACGTGACTCGTCATCATTTTTAAACTATACCTTCTATTACCAAATTTAAATTAGAATCTTTGTTGACAAATTTCTTGTGTTTTATACCCAAAATAACATTTTCTATCGCAATGAAAGTGTTCATTGTGCACGTCAACACAGTAAGCTACGTAAGACGATGCTTACAGTGATCTAACGGCGATAATGGTCGAAGTTTGTGATAGGTGTCATCTTGGTCTTATGGGTGAAAGGTTGCGTTTTTCCTGAGGACATTTGAAAGATCATGTTATTTTTTTCCGATGTGCAAAAGGGTTGGTTTTTTAAGAATTTTGGTTGGATAAGATGGGATAAGAAATGTGGAGGGATTTACCATATCATATATCTTGTATGGATAGATAACCTACACTAGAATTAAATAAAAAAATAGAAAACAATTTTAGTGCGTAGACAGCATGACCACCACCTCTGGTGGTTGTTGTTTCCAATACTTGATCCTGTGAGGTTTAGAGCTTATAAAACATCATATGAGATCTTCTTCGACACTTATTCGATAAGTACTTCCTACGTAGGCCGTACACTAACTCGAAATTCAATGCTTTCTATCACACTATACTGTCGTTGGGTTCGAAACAGCCGTCGAACTTTTTGAAATGATCCACCGTTAGTATTTTCAATCAAGTCCCGTGATAAAAATGTCAAAAATTGAATATCGGAATGTTGAACTGGACAAAAAGTGTTTAACTTATTTGGGAGGCGTTTTCGAACCAAATAAATAGAACGTGTCCAATTTTGAACAACGAAAATAAAGAAGCAGAGAGAGAGAGATCGGTGTTGTTAAATGGACAGGCCGTTGGCTAATCATGCCTTTCTGTCAAGACACGCAGCGAAATAAGCCAATCATAATGAGTGATTGGCGATAGTTTAAGCGCCACGAAAAATGGCAAAAATATTATACGGGGGCAATATGATTGGTCGTTCACACCAAATTAGCCGCGTGATTGATCACGTCTCCTGTCGAGGATTAATCGGATGGGGTGGGGAATGTACAAGTAGATTTCGTGAAAAAAAAATGACTCGTATATTTCAATGCAAAATTCATTTATCAGAATCTCAGCAAGAAAACAAAAATTGTTGATTAAAAGTCAATAAATATGTTGGGAATCCCGAAAAATACGAAAAAAGAGAACCCGGTAAAAGTTGGACCGAAATTCCGAAAAAGCCCCCCTCTCTGTTCTCTCTACCCTGACATCCTCGCTTCCTCTTCAGGCGACACTCCACGACTCCCCACTTCCCCCACTCCGACCGCCGCCGCACGATCGGAGCAAGAACGGCGCTGCGACTGGTAAGCCTCTCTCTCTCTCTCTCTCTCTCTCTCTCTCTCTGTGTGAAAGACCCGGATCAGGTTTTGTGGATCTGAAGTTCGTAACAACGTAATTTGCTTCGAATCTCCCCGAAACACGAGCCTTGAAAAGTGAATTTGGTTGTGTTGTTTCGCTTCTCTTGAATCGAAAGAGCAAGAAGTGCTCCTCGTCCCCTTTTGAGACATGGACCCTTTATTATGCTGCTGGGCTGCCTCGAGAAATGCTGAATGTGATGATGATCCCGCCAAGGCCCTTGATTGAAGTATAGCTTAACATGGAGAGATGGAACACAAAGGAGTCACTTCCGGTTTTGTAGTATCAGTTCCAGCGCCGGGGGCCGGAGGAGGGGGAGACGGCGGCGGGGAACCCTGCCGGCCACCGCCCAGTTCATGCCCTCCCGGAAGTTGGGAGCCGCTGGAAACGGCGGTGCGAGGCGGAGTGGGAGGAGCCGCCCCTGTCCATGGACCCTTCAAGCGAGAGAAAGGGGTGCCGGCGTCGGATAGAGACTGAGCAGGAGGACGATTTATACAACTCTGGTGAGATTTTGGCGTTGAGGCACCGGCACCGGCACCAGCACTGACCCGACCCTACCCGACCCATCTCTTGGGGTAAATGCTAAATAGGGTCTTGGGTAGGGGCGGGGCGGGTCAAGTGCGACCCTCTACGTTTTGGGTTGGGTCGGGTATCAGGAAAGCCCGACCCAATCTGACCCATTGACACCCCAAGTTGCTTGCTTGAATCTGAGACCCAATTCTGAAAATGGGTGGTGCTTGTTTTTTTAACTTTTTTACTTACTTTGATGTGGGGGCAGTGATGGCAACGGTTAGGAATTTGAAAATCAAGACGGGCACTTGCAAGCGCGTCGTTAAGGAGCTGCATTCTTATGAGAAGGAGGTCGAGAGAGAAGCCGCGAAGACGGCGGAGATGAAGGAGAAAGGGGCTGACCCCTATGACCTTAAGCAACAGGTATTCGAAACGATTTACTCGTGTTCTCTGAACTGTGGTTTTTTTATAACGATTTGTGGTTGTCGTGGCTGTCTCTTTGGTCTTTGTTGAGAATGTGACTTTTTTGAGATTTAATATGAATTCCGTAAATTGGCGGTATGTAGTACATGGAAGCACATTGTGTAGCATGCTTATTGAGCTTTGACGTAAATGTGCTCCAATAGACTGGTGAGGTGGTGACCTAAATATTTATCATTCAAGATGTTGATATGATGAATTATGATCAGCCTTGATCATGGTCAGAAGTTTCTACCACAATGGATTGGTATGTGTATAGAGTTATTAACTTCTGTTCCTGAACGTTTTCTGAACCATTGACTTTAGCTGAAAGTTTTGATTTTCATGGTGTCATGTATTAGTGGAGATGTACATTTGTGACTAGTAAATCTGTAATGCTCAAGATTGTCTACTCGGGGTTACACGTTCTCATTCTTCATGGCTCATCCATGAAAAAGGATGTTTTCTCTGTAGTTGAATGTTGCTGCTAGCATGCCCATGGTTCAGCATTTGGAAAAAACAGGCTGCTCCCCCACGTAGTCTCTTTCAGTTCTCTATAAAGAAATTTCACAAAAAGAGTTCCCTCAGGCTTTTCCAAATATATAGTTGACGCTTGATATATAGCGTGGTTGATTTGGTCGTGTCGTCAACTTCTCCTTTATCATGTCATATGCAGCATGAAGCTCCTGTTTGAGTTTTGAGATTTGATGCAGTGGGTTTCAATTTTGTGAATTTTCACTGGGTTTACAGCAATCCTGTCATCTAATCAAGGATGTGAACTGAAAACTTGATTTTAGCCAAAGAGCCTAGAAAGCTATAGGATTTTAGTTCAAAGTCTACAGTGCTGATTGGCTGAGGCATGTTTGTTGGGGCTCTATCTGTGGATTTGGTGATTACAACCTCTAATTAAAATCTATAAGCATTAGGGTGTTCTCTTTCTGTTTGGAAATAAGTATTTTCACCAGCAATGTAAGAAATGCAACTTATTGGAACAAATTCTATTATCAATCGCTAAACTCTCATTCTTTGCTCTTAAATCGGTAATCACATTGCTAGAAGACAGCCCCGTGCTTGTTAGAAATGTGTTAATTAAATTTTTATACCTGATTTTATATTAAATATCTAAATACTAAACTTTTTGAACAGTTAGAACACATAATTCTATAAAATGATTGTACGTTTTAAGTTTACCTGGCCTCTTTGGCAGCCTCATTTACCAACTTGGTTAAATTGTAGCGTACTTGGGCTTCCTTTGAGGTGAACTATTTGAGATACGGTAGAATCACAAGAATAAGGTAGTTCTTCCCCATGAGTTATGGCTTGATGTCCCATTGTAGTGGTCCAAGAATGAACTTCAAACTTTGAGATGATAGTTTTGTCCAGATGCCATAGAGCCAAAATATTAGCAGTAATGGCTGTCCCTGCCAAACGAGTCATTTATAATGGTTGAGACCTTTTTTTGTGATCAATGTAATTGGCACTGCACTTTTACTGAATTTTGTTGGTATTATGTTGGCTACAGATTATTAAACACTATAGAACGTGAAACCTGGTATATTCAAGTTTTCAGAATGTTCACAAATCTTCACTTAGTCACAAGCCCTTGTTACTTGGCTCAGTCACTATGAAACAGCTTTAGTAAGATTTGAGGCTGGCCATGTTTTTCCCTCAATGATTCTTCAGTCTCTTAAACAACCAAAATTATTCAGAAGGAAACACACAGTTTTTCCTCTCTTGTGGTGTAATTTAGGAGATTCATGACAGCAATAGAGTGTATGGAAAAGATTTTTCATCATGATTAAGATCTCAGGAATGTTGTGGATATTTTTTCTTTTTCGTTTCTGAATCACCCTGTTGTCATTCTGCTGGTCTTTATCTTCCTTAAACGTGCTTCGTTATCACCTTGTCTTCTTCTCTTTTTGGATTCGGACTGCAATAGCAAGAGATCAGCAAGAAAAATTGTTCCATCTGCACAAACATCTTTTGCATTACTCTTTGGTCAAGAATCATGACTAGTGCAGCTTTTATTATATGTTCGTTATTCAAGCAGAAAACAACAAATGCAGCCTAAAACAATCAACTGAGCCATAGTAGAATGAGATACTGACAGATGAAATCTAAAATTGAAAATTCAGATCATGACATGGCCAACCTAGCATTTGTAATTTCCCCAGTCGCAGATGGAATCTGAGGCAATAAGCAAAGTTTACTAGAGTAGTTAACTACCATTTGAAACATTAACTTTGAAAATACACAAGTATCCCTGCGTGCTTGAGTTCAACATAAATTTTTCTAGTTTCTCAAGGATTCGTAACGGCATCCTCGAGTTCAACTAAAATTCTTCTAGTTTCTCAATGATTTCTAATGGCTCTAATACTTAAGTTCACATCTTATTTCTCGTTATAATACTTAAAGGAGCTTAAAAAACATTTAATGTACATAAAAATGCCATATAACCAAAAGCTTGAGAGAATATGAGAGGCGGGCATATCACTATGCCTAAATGTGTGACTGTTACCAAGTCCAGCTATATGATTATAGTGCTACCAGGTTATCAGTTCGTTAAATTCGGTTAAATATTTTCAGGCAATCACCGTAAGAATCATGGGGCTGGTCCATAATTGGCAGTACAGAGCTTCCATCTGAATTTTTGTATTCACCTGGTAGACAGAAACTGTGTATCCTTTCCTGCTTCGACTGGAGAAAAAAGGATCTATCCTCCTGCCTTTGAAGTGTGCTAGAAATGAAATATAGAAAAAAAGATTCAATTTTTCTGCTCTTAGATGGGATGATAGTTAAAGTGCTGGATGTGTATGTTCAGACTGAAAAAATTATTTGGAGGCATCTGACTGATGTCCCGTTGAGCCTGAGTAATAAGCTCTATATGTACCTGTGTTTTGTTCATACTGTGGTAGTGCCCAATGTTTAATCTATCATCTCCAATTTCATCCTCCCTTGTAGGAAAATGTACTTGCTGAATCAAGGATGATGATTCCAGACTGTCGCAAGCGCTTGGAGGCTTCACTAGCTGATTTAAAAGCCACTTTGGTATGGTATCATTTTTTTCCTTAGTTCTGAATCACATATCTCTCAGCTGGCGCACAGTATCCCAGTCCACTGAACAATACGTTCAATTTCAGGCGGAACTGGAGGAGTCAAATCAGAAGGAAGGCGTTGAAATTGAGGAAGCTCGAAGCACTATAGCAGATGTTGAACGCTTTTTCGAGAGCACTGAGGCTTAGCAACTGATGGAAGCAATGCACTCTAGTTACATAAAGCAGTAATTTTTATGGAACATGGTATTTGTCCACTTAATTCTGGAACTTGTACCCTCCACTACTTTACTGGGTTTTCAGACAGTAGGTTTTTCATGTGAGATCTAGGCTGGTATTTGCCGTGCACACCTCTTGGGGTTGAGAGCTTTACTTCTGCTGCGTGCTCTGTGGTTCCAAGTTATGCACTAGTTTGCTTATATGAGTTCTTACGGCACATATGAGATTGGATCAGAATCAGATGTGACTGCTGAATGAAATCTGTGATTTTGTTATGTTGGCTTTTGAACTCAAATCTCTGCAATGGATCAACCGAAATCTTGATTCTTTCTCTGAAAAACAATGGGGGGAATCTTTGTGCTTGAATTCATAATATTTGTGCTTCATTCAGGTAATGACTGTTATCCTGAATAGCAGTGCCCAGCCTTTAATCGTAAATGATCTTCTCTATTGATGCATTAACGAGCTTGAGCGTGTGCTCTTCTGGACAAATGATCTTTGGTAATTTTTGCAGAAATCATTAAAGGTAATGGGCCAAGTAGGCTGCAAGATGGCGATGTTGAATGAAAACGGGTAATTTGTTTGACAAGCCACTTGAACGGAAATTTACGGCATCTGGTTTTTTTAGTTTTGAGATTTTTGAAGCATGGAAAATGAGGGAAAAAGTTGAGCAGAATGCTCAACATACTGGATATACTAGTTTGGCTTTCCTTGACTGGAGACTCCTACCAGTCCTTTTCTCTGAATTTGGAATAAGCTACCGGTCAGAGTCTCAAAGGAATTAGTTCTTCGTTTGAGCAAGCGTTTGTTTTTTCTAGAGAATGGTACGATTTTCATTATCATGTCTCTTGGTTGCAGCCGAAACTAAAATGGGAAACACGTCATGTGCGATGAATTGTCGGAAAATAAACACGCCCGTTGACTTCGCTGTCCATCCTCTGCTTTTTTCAGTCAATTGATAAGTCTTGAACCGAAGTCCAAAGTTTGGCAAGGCTGGTCTAAAATCCGTTGAACAGACATGCACTTGATTCGTCTTGAGATAAGTCTTCAGCTGGAGTTGTCTTGAGCAAGGCCGCTTGCCGCGCACTAATTGAAGACTGTCCACCGTTCCTTCTTCCTTGGTCTTAGGAAAATGTCAATGCACAGACCACTTAGGTAGTTTATCAGTGAGAACCCGACTTACCCTGTTTGGTGAAACTGAAGATTAAGTGCTGAATATTTTAGTTTCAAGTGCTAATGATCTTTAAGTGCTGAAAACAAGAATAAGAAGTCAGTTGATGACAGTTGAAGATAGAGAGCTGAATATCATTAATCTCTTGCCAAGCACAGGAAATATGCCATTATCGCTTGATTTTCATCGATATATTTAGCAAGATTGGCAATTGCCTAAAGTTATATATCTATTGTACGAATTAAGTAATTTCTTTCTTGCTTATCAATCCCGTCAACAAGTTTATGTCATTGAGTGCTAAGGTTCTGTCCATCATCATCATCATCATCATTGAAGTACAAGGGAAATGTTCAAAATAGCCAGGCCAGTCAGGGGAAACCATTCCAAGTTTCTACATCATGTTAAAGCATAGTCTAAACAAAGTAGAAACATCTCGATGATGTGAAGATGCCAAAGATCACCCTCTAAAGCTCAGTCCTGACTCCTTACTCCCCAATTAGAAAATACACAGAGTGACATTGCTGAAATCCCATTAGTTCACATTTGCCACTGGCTTTGTTGGCAGCGATAGTTCCGTTCGGCCCCATGAAACACTATAAGCGACTCGTATTCAAGTTTCGAAAAGCAAGAAATTATTATGTACATCATCATCAGGACAACTGTTAACTAGTCACAAGACACAGCAAAAGAAAAACCGAAGCCAGTCAATGTTTCATCAGTCAAAGCCCTGTTCTCCCCCTACCACGAATGCCGTGTCGGAGACCCTCTCCTGATCTTCCTCCGGAAAGGCCTGCAAGCTTCAATGCTAAGATCGACAGCTGCCGCGAGCGCCATGAAAATGGCTGCATCTTCCACACACGTCACGTGCCGCATTGCCAATTGCACCAACGGCTTGCTGTTCTTTCCTTCCCCTCGAACTTTACAACTCATAACGAACCCCCCAACGACGGGGCTCAGTCCCCCGAAGTCACCACTGCTTCTCGGGCTCGGTATTGGGGTCGGCCCAGATGCTCTCATCTGCCTATCTGTGTCTATGAAAAACTCCCCGCCCTTTTCGGCATTTATGTTGATCTCAGACACAAGAAATTCTGCTCCTTCTTGCCCTTCTGAGAGGAGTCGGAACCGGCAGCAAATAGAGTCTCTCATGCCACGTTCGCGCCATGCTTCTAGCTTTCCCCAGGGCTGCCAGCTCTCGGGCCTACAGAGATCAGGCCGGACGATCAGCCAAGCCCCTGGGTTAGATTTCGCTACCCAGTCACAACCTGATGAGGGCACAAAAGGAGTAGTTATGAAGGCTGCAGCCACAGCTGAGCCGGACAAATCGTGTATCTTCACCTTCCATCCCTTTCTCTCTCTTCTTTCGGGCTCTTGATCAGAACCGTCGACGGCTGACCAGTAAGAGCTCAACGGGTCAACCTGGGGGACCCTATTATTAATGACAGAATTTTCAGGTGGTGTGACACAGCTAAAGCAAAAAGACTCGACCTACATGTCATCAATGAATCAGTGACCCAGGATATGACTCAATTAAGACAAAAATTCACTTATAAAATGCCTCATTTTGTTAGCAGAGAAAAATAAGCTGCTTCTCTACAGATTGATGATTATGAGTGCATTGCCATCATGGATCAATGAATCCACAACTCCACTTCATTCAAGTATATTCTTTCATAATCTCTCCTAAATTTCTTGCACACAAACTTGATTTATCTTGTCAAGCATTAAGAAGGAGAGTATGGTGATGAATTACTTGTCATTAAGGAATTGAAAGATAAACTATGTACTTCATGTCACCTGTCTTGGCTGAACTCGCAACTAAAAATAGGTTGTTTGATGGATCCTTGAAGCTGAACTATTTGAGGGCTCAATCTGGTCACGTCCTCAAACTGGAAGACGTATCTAGGATCGGGATCTAGCTTCACTTTCAAGTGAAGTTCCGCTCCAGGTTTTCCGCTATCCAGCTTACTCTTGCCGATACCTATCCACCCATTGAAAAGTATCACGGGTTTTCCTTCGCCCCACTCAGGACTCACCTCCAACTTAAACGTCCCTAGTTGCTGTCTTTTGTTTCCAACGCCACAGTGGGATCCCTTCCTTCCCGTGAATACGGAAATCTCGAGATGTGCCTGAGAGCTATAGAAACAGCCGGGTGCAGTTAAGGCTTTCAGATCAGATTCTTCGAGATAAAAGCTCGAAGCAATGCTCTGATAATCGGGGGTAGCTTCAGGGGAGGACACCAGGGGGATAGTTAGCGTCTGCGCGGGGAAACCTCGGAGGCGAATCTCGCACAGACATGAAGAAGAGAATGGCTGGATCCCAGATTTGACAGAGTTTAGAGTTGATCCGGGGATCCTCAACCCCAGTGAGCCAATTGATAACCTGATGAAAGCTTGAGGATCCATTACAGGTCACAAAAATTTCTCCATTAGGACGAGAAGCTTGACTCTTAAATGGCTGAAACCTGAGACACAAAAAAGGCCTGATTACAATCAACCAAAGAGCATTAAATGGTTAGAGATGATGGCGCAATTTAGTGGCTTGAATAAATACGGCTTTCTATAAGATACGAAATCTAACAGTAGCTGAAAAGAAAAGAATGGATGATTATCAAATGAATTTATGAAGTGCAAAGAGTTTCTTATATAAGCTGATTTATCATGTAAGTTTATGCCATAAAGTAGCATCCAAGATGTTTTTCCAGACGGCACGGTTTTCCTCACTGACCTCTTGCTCTTGCTGTCTGAGTCTAATAGGGCATTTAATCTTTGGCCAAGAATCAACACAAAGAAGTGACTATTGCTTCTAAAATAAGTAATTTTTCGTCTTAGCATCTTTCTTATCTGTTTGCCGTTCATGCAGAATAACCAACGGATGTAGCCAATAAAATAAACCATGCTACCATGAAATGCTGATGGCTGAGAACTAGAAACAAACTTTCAGACCACGACAAGGCAATTCTATCATTTATAGTTTCCCTAGTGTCAGAGGAAATCAGAGGAAATAAACTATAGCATTCAGCTAACATTTGAAGTAATACATTGAAAATCAGCGAGAATTCCTGCATGCTTGGGTTCAAGATAAATTCCTCTAGTTTCTCAAGGATTCATAACAACTCTTGCACTTAAGTTCACATCGAATCTATGTGATGGCATGCTTATTGGAACTTAAAGAATATTAAATGTACACAAAAGGCTCTATAAAACCAAAAACATCAGTGAAATATATTTTGGTTTCACATTTTCAGGTAATCTTAATAGCCATAACAATCAGGTGGCTGGTCCATAAATGGCACTCACAGAATTTGTATTCTAATCACCTATTAGACAGTCCTAAAGACTATGTACAATTGAAACAATGATTTTGATGACACAGGTAGGTCAATCCACCTCATAAATAACAGCAATTTACGTCAACCAGGAAATAGCAAACTCGACAGAATGTGGGGATTCAGTTCAGTCCAACTTTACTTCAGCATTTTTAGAATTCTCCATGACTATCAATGTTCTGATACCAACTAAAAGAATAGATTCAAAGAAGTTTAAAGGAGATGGGCAACTGGAAGTAAAGCGGTATCATTCATTCAATGAGGACTGAAAGTTAACTTTTCTTTTGGCCAGGATACAAAATAAAATGAATTTACAGGCTGAATGTACACTTATGTACAAAGGAAGATGCTCAAATAAATGCCTGGAAGAATCCAAGGGTAATCCTGATCAAGCACTCAAAGTAAAAGGCTTTAACCACACATACGTTAAGGACCTATTCCACACAAATCAAACATGTACAAACGTGGTTTCTCATCTCTTCCGCAGCTGACACGCATTTTCTGACCCTGATAAACAACAGTTCACCTCGGGACCAAGATATAGAAGAAATGACCATAACCTGGTTTGGTGTCATCATCGGTATGCTTGTGCCCTTACAGACATAGATAACCATTCTCCATATCGTCTGATCATTCACTCCCATTAACAGACGACACGGATACTTATCAGGCACGACGCAATCAGGTCCTAGGCCACATCAAGATGAAGTAAAACAAGCACAAGATGGGGCATATAAAATTTCCAGCGACTTCATTGAAGAAACCCTTTGACATGGAGTAAATCCACCACGACAGCCGTGAAGCTTATGCTTTTTTCCACCGAATGTATGAAAACTTCCCGGTAAAGAAGCTAATTACATATTTTCCTGGCAGGAACAACCAAAGAGAAGCTAATTTTCAAGGCATGAGCCGCACTTTGACCATGGATTTCTACAAAAGTTGCACGAGAAGAAAAGGCCATTCAGTCCTAAACTAGCCGCCTTAGCCAATTGGAGAGTACCAACAGCATACCGAAGCAACACAGCCCACGAATTATATGGTAAATGTAAAACACGCTCCCAAAGTCACAATCAGCACATAATAAGCCTTAAGCCACAATAAAGAGCAACTCAACACAGACAGCAACAAGGAGAAACGGGTAAGAAAAGTCAAGAATCCTCAAACCAAGCAAAATTAAACAAAACTTAAACTCACCCCCCTTGAAGCTCAAGAAAGAGTACCGATCCCACTTCTCATATCTTCAAGAAGTTCTCACAACCAACACCCCAGAGCAGAGACAGAAAAGCTCACGAAGCACGACAATTCCGGACCTGCATGACTCAGCAGCAAAAACCCAATTATGGGTTGGGCTCAGAAACCAGAATCTCTCTCTCTCTCTCTCTCTCTCCCCTCTAAAAAGAGAAAGATGGGTTGAGTTATGATTAGTGGGTATTAGTTGAACGAAACAGATCAACACTGTGCCACGGATCACGAGGAAAAGCCAAACACCCCTCTCTCTCTCTCTCTCTCTCTCTCTCTCTCCTTAGAGAGCAAATAAAATATATGGCTCAACAAGTCGCACACACAAACACACAAACAAACATACATCCATGGGATGGAGGAGGGCGCATGTGTGCCGCCCCCCACATCACATAAAAAAAAACAAAACTAGCTCCCTACCTGAAAAAGAGCAAATGGGCTTTCCCCTCAACCCGGCGCATGTGCATTCAATTCCAAAGACAAGACACAGACAGAGACAGAGAAGGGGAAGAAGCTCAAAGGAAGCTAGAATGGAGATGGGGGGGGGGGGGGGGCTCAGTAGTGGGGACAACAATGGGAAGATTTGAGACGAACACAACCCATCATCATTGGATCAGTAAGTCACTTGGGGGTGAGGGGGTGGTGGTGGTGGTGGTGGGGATTATTATAATGCTAGGATGCTTTGCTTCTTGGGCTGCTGCTGTTTGGGTTTTTTGTGTGTGTGTGATCAAGTTTGTCCTTGTGGGGATGCAATGAGAGAGAGAGAGAGAGAATAAAGAAATGGAGAGAGGAAGGAGGAGGAGGAGGAAGCAAAGGGAAAGAAATGCGAGAGAGGGACAGAGGAGGAAGAGGTCGTGAAGACAGCTGTAACCAACGCTCTCTTCCTCCTCCTTCCTCCTCCTTCGGTTCATAGAAAAATATAAATAACAACTATAATTTATTATAATAATAATAATGATAATAATAATAATGGGGGAATGAATATATATATATATATTTTGCAATTGATGAGGATACCCGTACGTATGCGTGACTTCATTTTTTTCTTTCTTTTCTCTGGGGCCGTGTTCTTCTTCATCTTAGTGCTTTTGCAAATTGTGAATTATATAGACGGGTTTTGTCTTGAGGATATCTTAGTTAAGTTTTCTATCGCAATTTTTACCGTCGAGCAAGATAATTCGAAGAGTAAATTCCATTTGATACGATCGAAAGAACGGACACGTCGTCCCCCCTTGAAAGGCTCGAAAAAAGGACAAGGAAAATCTATTCTCCCCCAAAAGTAAAGCGAGGGAAGAGTGGCCCGCCAAATATATTAATAGTTTTATCGGACAAGCCTTCGGATTTTGTGAAACGAAAAATTTATCGGGCGCGAGGTATAAATGTTCGCGGCGAGTTTCTGAGATCGACGATGATTTCCCTAATGATTTGTAGCCCATAATTCAGTAATGATAATCCTGGACAATCGAACCGGTATCACGAGCACTCCCGTTCTTTTCTGTTTAAAAATAGGCTCCAATAATTTGTCTCTCTCTTGCGAAGGTCGACTTGTTCTTTTTTATTATATGCGAGGATAAAAGCCTTCGACCACTCGAAAACCGTTAATTCTTTTTTCTGGTAATACCGCGTGTTAAAAGATCGATCGAACATTTTCAATACGGCCAGGCACGATGAGGACAAGCACTTCGAGATTTTCGAATTTTTCGGAAATTCCGAAAGAGCATCTTGCACTAATTATTTCTTTTTCACCGATTATATGTAAGTGCGAAAAGCCGGCATTTGTTGACCCGGATGAGATGACCAATAATCAAAAAACCAAGGAGAAAAAAAAAACGACAAGAATGCCATGCCGTACGACAAAGGAAAAAAAAGGGAGGGTTTTCCTTTTTTTCTTTTTTAGCTTTTTGGTTTTGGTCTTTTCTTGAAAGTTCAAAAAAAAAAAACAAAACGAAAGAGAGAGAGAGAGAGAGAGAGAGAGAACAACTTTCCTATGTCGAAAGCGGAATCCACCGCATCCCGAAAAAGAAGGCCAATCGACGACGAGCGTTCCTTTCCTTTCCCCCCTTTTGTTATTTTCTTGTCCAATGAGAGGAGTGAGCCTTGGGTCAACGTAAATTTTAGACATGGCCCCCGATCTTTTCGGCCTTTTTTGCTCATCGGAAATCGCTCCCCTTCGAATCGTCTCGGGCTCGGTGTCGGGGAACCGCCGCGCCCGGACCGGGTGACGGCGCCCGGGGGGGGCCGCCCGGATCGATCCGGACGGCCGTGCGCCGAGAAAGGGGGAAGGAACCGCCGAGGAAATGAATCCGCCAGGGACGGGGCGAATCTTTTCGATGCTTCTCGACAGGGATATCGGCCGATGGACGGAAGATTTCCCGTGCTGTCGAATTAATTATGTTGGGTTCTTGCGGTTAATGCCGGTGTTTAAATATCGGCAATATTCACGGTCAGTATCATATGACGTAATGTACTGGGCAACATACTGTTTACTTATTCTTTGTCGATACCTAACTCGTTTTTATTAATCGATCGGTACTCATGATCGTCATCGACTCTGCCTAGTCGATGACTCCGCCTTATCGCTATGGCCCGACTCGAGACATTCTCCCTTGTCTCGATGGTCTTCGCAACTTTTCATCGACATTGGCCCGAGTTAATATCATATTCAAATTCAACCAAAAAACATATCATATTCTAAGTTCGACCAAAAAAAATTTTAAAAAAAATATATCATATTCAAAGCCATGATCAACTTTTAATGGCATCGATTCTGATTAACTTTAAGCTGTTTATAACTAACGTAATTCCGTACAATTCTTATGCTTGCCCGACTATAGAGAGCACAAAGAAATAAGTGCGATGCTTTGTGCCTAAAATATAAGTCCATTTAGTTTCGATGTGAAAGTTGGTAATGAAAAATAAATTATCATATTATTCTTTTAGGGATAATGACACAAACAATCTCTTAACTTTGATCTAATGTGTAATGTAATCCCTAAAGTTTTAATTTGTTCAATGTAGTCCCCGAAATTTAGTCTAATATTCAATGTGATCCCTGGACTTTTAGTACCTGTCCAATGTAGTCCCTGAACTATGTGAAAATATTCAATATAGTCCCTAAACTTATTTTAATCGTGTCAAATAGAAAGAAACCTCTCTATATTATATTTGAAGTAAATATGATTTTATTATAGTCACGTCGTGACGGTATTGTACCGTAACTATACCATGTATATTGTAATTAGGGTGCGCATGAATACCATTCTCAGACTGTAGAACTATTTCGAATGTAAATGATTTTGTTTTTATTTTGTGCCCTAAACAATTTCGAGTATTTGAAGGCGTTTGATAAACCTGTCCAAAATTTCTATTCCTAGAGTAGAAAAGAATGAAATGCGTTTGGAACTACACAAAATTTCTGTTCCCAAATAATATTTTAATAATATTTTGAATTGTTAAAATTTTTTTTTCTTTCTACCATTTTCTTCTTGGCCATGGCCGATCGCCGGCGACCGGGGCCGAGTGGCGGGACGGCACGGCCCAGTGGCGGCGGGGCGCCACGGCCTCGCTCGGCCGCGGCGGAGGCGAGGTCGCCCTCGCCGGCGAGGGCAAAGGCTGGACCTCGCCGCCCGGGCGAGGGCGACCTCGCTCCGCTGACGGCCCGCGAGGGCCGTGACGCTCGCTGCCCCGGGCCGTGGCCGATCGCTGGCCGCCGCAGCCCGGCGCCGGCGCGGCCAAATGGCCTGGAAGGAAGAACAACACAAAATAAGAAAAGAAAAAAACTGATTCTCAAAATTGTGCCGAGAAACAAGAAGCAACTTTTTTTTACTTTTGTTTGTCTTCCAAAATCGTTTCTGTACAAATTTTTGCAAAATGTGCCCGGAACAAAAAGTTTACCAAACGCATTTCGTTCCCAAACTATTTCTGGGAACAAAAGAACATAAATTTTCACCGCTTAAGCACGTTGCCAAACGGCCCTTAGTGTGTCTCGGTTTGCTAGTACCCATTTTTACTGCGTGTTTCTAACGAGCGATTCACTTGTAATTACAATTCTAATGCAACTTTCTTTCACCCGCGATTACATCCGTAGATCTATCACTCCGCCGAAGGTTCGTTCATGCACTTTGCGATCGAGTGTGGAACCACAGAGTGATCTCGATCGCTTGCCAGTCGTCTGAAGTCGGATCATCTTGGCACACCCATTTTCGTCGAAATTTCTTTGGCACGCTGGCCTATTGCTTTTCACCTATACTTGTAATATATTTTTCAAAGCTATAGATCTTTGAAGCATATAATTGGGGTGGAGCAACTTCACACGAACCGTTTTAAGTTATGGGAAAGATCCCTTGAATTTTTAATTTATTCAATGAAGTCCCTTAATTTTAGCCAAATGCGTGATGTCGTCCTTGAACTTTTAACTTATTCAATGTGATTGTTGAACTTTTGGTGCACGTTCAATGTCGCCTCTGGATTATATGAAAATGTTCAATATTGCCCGTGAACTTGAATCAATGGGAGCATAATATTGGATATTCTCGTATAATCTGGAGATCAAATTGAGCATTTACCAAACATTCAGGAACCACATTGAGCAATAAAAAAAAGCTCAGGGAGGACAATGCATATTAGACTAAAGTTCAGGTATCACATCGAATAAATTAAAAATTCGGCGACGACATTATACATGGATCATTCGTGTCGTTATCATTTCGCGAAACGAAATTCAACGCCCCTATCCCTAATTTTGAGAAGAAAATTTGAAGAAGTATCTCTCCAAAAATCACCAAATCGACCCTACACGACCCTAACGCTGACAGCTACCCACCACGTGGAGCAGGTGGGGCCCCGTTCCGAACCACTCTGCTCGCAGGAACATGCTGTGCAGTGGTGCAGCAGTTGTCAATCCCCAGGAAGAGACTGTGCGTGTCTCAATACATATTTGATTCCTGGAGACCTTGACCGTTGACCCTGCGAGCTCCCCTCATCATTTTCTTTTGCTTCCAGGAAAAGAGATCAGCAGATGGGGAACGTGCGTTGTCTGTCCTCTTCGGATCCCGACATTCCTGGCTACCCTAGATCATGTCCTGAGCTTGAAGCCAGAGCGAAGAGTCTTCGGTCTTTAGCTATCTGCTCATCCCGTTTTCACATGGCGCCGAACGTTGATCGGCTGCATGGAGCGTTTGGAATCTGCAGATCCTGTCCAGCATGCATTCACATGTATCATCCGAGCACGGGAGTTGGGGCCCGGCTGGCGGGGGGCCATGCGGGGCTGATGGTGCAGGACTGTGGCGTGGCGTGATCCACGAGCCGTCACGGTCCGCGCTCGGCACATGGTTTGTCGGGCGGCACGGCCTGACAAACTCGTACTTTAAAAAGGGAAGGAAAAAAACAAACAGCATTATGTTTCGAAATTGTCTTATGAAGAAGAAAAGGAATTTGTTGGCCAATCCTAAGTGAAGCCTTATGCATGTAATTGATTTTTGTTTGTTGAATATGCAAGATAATTATCATCATCATAGCTTAGGGTTTAAGGATAACAATGGGAATACCAATAAGATAGAAATTTATACTATCTAGAAGTATAAAATGTGCAGCTAAGCATAATCTTATAGAATTCGATGGACGATATAGCTGTG